TTTTCTTTAGTGTCTGGCTTCTCAGTTTTTTCGCCCGCCATCTCGCAAGATGGAAAGAGAACTACGTTTCCAGGAAACACATTATTAATAATTTCAATGCTTTTTCTGTTTACCTATGTTTCTTAATAATTGACTTTTCAGGTTCAAATATTTATCCATTGTATACCGTGAAAAGTGAGAATTTCGACCCTTATGTAGTAAAGAAAGCGGCAACTCACCCTCCAAACACTGGTGCACCCTGCGCAGCGCTGAGCATCTGCACCTTCATGACCACAGAGGGGCCGCAGCATATGCCCTCCCTACCTCGAAGGTCCCTCCCTGCTCTGTCAGGTTAGGTGTGCCTGCAGCTCATGTCATTGTCCTTGTGGCTATGGTTGTCGTCGCTCTCTCCAGTCTCCCCCGTGCTCCCTCCTGCTCTGGTGTGGGTTTGCTGCCTCCTTATGTCTTCCTCTTCTTCTGCTTGCTCCTTCCTTTTGGTGGCATCCCAGCCCTCGTCCTTCGATTGCTTTGTAAAAATAATGGTACCTGGGAAATAAGACAGGGACATGTGACATGCCTTAGAATGTTGTGCAACATTCTAACTCTGCTATTTGTCACAGATATAATGTTAGGTTAGAAACAATTCCCTTTCAGAGCTTTCAATCATTACCCCTTACCTTCTTACTTTCACTGGTACTACCCCCTTCCTTTCTCAAAAATAAGAATGAGCTAGCTTCCATTTTATATTTCAGCTCTGGGAGTTTTTGGAATCTTCAAATCACAATTAAACTGCAATTTGTGAATAATATAACTAGATGTAAGGGTTTTTTTCTTTGAATTTTCCAGCTGTCTGGTCACATGTGTCCTTTAGGGATTTTTTTTTTTTTTGAGACAGCGTCTTGCTGTGTAGTTCACATTGACTTTAAACTCACTATGTAGCCTCAAACTTGTGGTGATCCTCCTGCCTCAGCCTCCTGAGCGCCAAGATTACAGATATGCACCACTACACCCAGCCAATTCTTTTTTTAAGCATTCATTTAATGTCAGAATTTGACTCTGCAGTGTATGTTCTTTCTTTTTAGAAGAGTACTGTTCAGATTAGAGCCTTTAAAAAAGTGTATGTCAGCAATTCAGAATGGCGAGGTTCATGTGGGGAGTCTGGTGAGAGCACTCAACGTATCTTGGGCATTTTCAGAGATGGACTTTGGTGAGGGAAGAGCAGACACTTATTCTTTAACCTCCATTTTTCATAGAGCAGAATTTTCATCACACTCACCAAGACAGGAACTGTGTAGGAAAGAGACTTCTAGTTGATTTTAGGTCTCTCATTCATAGTTTTGAGAAAGGAAGAATTTGCCATGTGGGTAAATGTCATAGCCTGGGCCCACAAGGTCCCCTAAAGGCACCCCAGTCACGATATTCTCTGCAGTCTGGCGCTGCTAGCAAAGGGAACCTCTCAGCGGCGGGCCTGGCAGTGGTCATCGAGCCCCTGGGAGCCGGTCCTCGGAGGGGACCTGCAGAGCGACATCTCACTGCCGCTTCTGGAAGGTGCCAGCTTTGCTCGTGACGTGCCCCCTCCACAGCGCGCTTCCGCACTCCAAGCCCAAAGCCATGGGGCTGAGAGGCCTCCGGCTGGTACCCCTCAATTCAGGAGTCAAGACAGCCCATTTCTCTGCACCAGTTGGTCACCTCACATCTCTTGTTATAGTGACAGAAATCTGATCGACACCGTGCTTCTCCCCCCCCATGTGTGTGTGAGGGTGTGTGTGTGAGTGTGACACATGGGGGCTGCCCAACTGTGCCAATGACTGATACTAAGCCCCTCAGAGATGGAGGAAAGCAAGATGATTCGATTGCATGACTAAAATTGCAGTACCCCTCTAAATAGCACTAATAATGACAGTAATGTAAACATCGCGATCGCTGTTGACCGTGGCTTGTTTTCCCTTTCCCTTGCTGAAGGACATCTCAGTGGCATTCACGTTTTGACATTTATGAATAAAGCAGCTGTACACATCTGTGTGCAGGTGTTTTGTGGACCCGGATTTTCCACTTTTTTGGTAAAACCAAGAGGAGTAACTTCTGAATTTTTTGGTAAAACTACAGAGCACTGGCATACCTTTGGCTACATGCTTTCGCAAGTTTTATAAGAAACACCACGCTGTCTCTGCAGCGCCTGGACCTGCACCCCTGCCACATCCGGGCGAGCGAGCCCGTTCCTCCACTTCTGCGCCCAGGGGGTGCTGTCTTACCTCCCTGCTGTTTTAGCTTGCATTTCCCAGTGGTGTGATGTGGAGCTTATGTTCATTGTTATATAATGTGATATAAGTAAATACTATTTTAAAAAAATATAACGAAGTACCCTTCTATGAAAAAACAAAGCAAAGTTCCATAACAATACTTAATACACTGTATCATAATCTTAAAAGAATGACTAAAATGTTGCCCGGAGTACAAGTCACAGACAAGAAAATATTGTCTTATAAACAATCACATAAACCCATTTAGCTTTCTCTTCCACGATGTGGCATCCTTTCATATACTTTTTTTTTCCAAAAGAAAAAATCTTTGTTGCAATACGTTAGCGCAGGCAACAGGTCTGAGAACGCATCAGGCAGCGGTCAGGGCCGTGGGGGCCTCCCGCGCTGCGTGTGCTCCCGGAAGCTCCTTCCGCGGCTGCTCCCAGAGCGCCACCTCTGTCCTTACCAACTCCAGACCTGCCTTCTCGACAGTGACCCTGCCAGTGGCTTCTGCTCCTGTCTCGCCTCCGCCTCCGATGGGGACACAGCGGCCTCCAGGGTGGAGCTCTGGCCCTCCTCCTCCTGGTCGGGCTTTCGCGCTTTCTCTGCGGCCGCTCCGGGCAGCTGGTCTCGGTTTCCAAGTCAGCTCCACGGCGCCCTCGGTAGCCATGTCTACCTCACGGGCTAGGCAACTTCACAAGCTTGTTTTCCAACTGCATGTTTTTGGTGAAATTTCTGTAAAGGCCTCTGGCACAGTTTTCAGTTAGGCTATTTTTATGGATGAGTTTTAAGAGCTCTTTAAATATTTGTAACAGTCTTCTATCTGATATATTCTCTGAAAATATTTTTTTTCTACCAGTCTGCAGCTTTTCCTTTTATTCTCTTAAGAGGTGTACCGTGTCAGGCAAGACAGCTTTCTCAGAAAAAAGAGGAAGCCTGTCCTGGATGTGACGGGAAGTGGGCGGTGGGCATCCCGGGCACACTCAGGTGCCCCATGTGTCCTCCCCCGTTCCTGGGGAGACCCCATTCCACTGTCTTTCTTCATCAGGGCCCTGACTTAAAAGAGACCTAATGAGTGTTTCAACCTCCCTCTGGTACCATTTTCTGTGTCAGTGTTCTTGGTTGCAAAGGGAAAGTGTTTTTGGTTAGAGAGAGTTCTCAATGCCAATTTGAGCAGAAGGAAAATACCAGAAAACAAGGGCTACATAGTGAGTTCAAGACCACCCTGCACTACAAAGCCAGACCCTGTCTCAAGGAAATCAGGAGAAAATCATTCACAGAACAATGGGAAGAATGGACAACATAACTTGGAAAACAATGTTAGACATGAAGAGCAGCAAGACGCATGTTAGATGTGACCTCAGGAAGGACGGTGCCTTTGCTGTGTCCCCAAGGGACACCGATCGGATCAGCTGCCCTGGGTCTTGGACAGTCCCTGGGCGCTCATTTGTGTGCATCGTTTTATATCTTCAAGTCCTGGTGAGGAGTAAGGAAAGCTACTTTATGTTAGTCATAATAAGCATTCTATTTGATATTTCTATGATTTCTACTAAAGGTGTAGGGTGTCCCCGTGTCACTATATATACTCTTTTTGAGACAAGGTCTCACTACAAAGTTTAGGCTGACCTTAAACTCACAGAGATCCTCCTGCCTCAGACTCCCAAGTGCCGGTACAACAGGCATATGCCATGATGCTTGTCTTTTTCTTTTAATTTTTTCCTCATGTTTTCAGAACTTGTGCAAATTTGGGGTCACCCTTTTCTTCCTTGATTTTAGCAGGTCTGTCTCTTGGCAATTCCATGAAGCACACAAATGAAAGTTTTCCAGAGTATTTCATTCTCATGGGCTTAACCAAACACCCGTGGCTGCGTCTCCCTCTCTTCTTCGTCCTCCTGACCTCCTACCTGCTCACACTATCAGGAAACACTGCTATTATTCTGGTCTCCCAGCTGGATTCCCAACTCCAAACTCCCATGTACTTCTTCCTCACCAGCCTTTCCTTTCTGGATCTCTGCTTTACCACCACAACTGTGCCTCAAATGCTGTTCAATTTAGGGGGGCCCAGCAAGGGCATCACACGCCCGGGCTGCATGGTGCAGGCCTACGTGTTCCACTGGCTGGGCTGCTCTGAGTGCGTCCTGCTGGGAGTCATGGCCTTGGACCGCTACGTGGCTCTGTGCCGGCCCCTGCGGTACTCCGTAATCATGGGCCGCCAGCTCTGCCTGCAGCTCTCTGGCACAGCCTGGCTGCTTGGTCTGGCCAACTCCCTGCTGCAGGCCACACTGACTTTCCGACTGCCGCTGTGCGGGAACCAGGTGCTAGACCATTTCTTCTGCGAGCTTCCTGGTCTCATTAGGATGGCTTGCGGAGACACCACAGTCAATGTGATTATCTTAGCAGTGGCGGCCACCTTCCTGATAATGGGTCCCCTCTCCATGATTCTTGTCTCCTATGGTTACATTGCCAGAGCTGTGTTCCGAATCCCTTCTGCGGCCGGGAGACTCAAGGCCTTCCACACGTGCTCCTCACACCTCCTGGTGGTGTCCTTATTCTATGGGCCTGGAATCTACATCTACATGCAGCCCCCAGCAGACGACTCTCAGGACCTTACCAAGGTCTTGACGCTATTTTACTGTGTTATCACTCCTATGGCCAACCCATTCATCTATACCCTGAGAAACAAAGAGGTCACAGGAGCTCTGAGGAGGCTTCTGAGGAAGACCACGTCATCTACACAAATGTGAGAAGTTGCTGCTCAACAACAACCTTGGGGCCGGGGAGATGGCTCAGTGGAATAAGCGCTTCCCTGGCAAGTGCAAGGGCCTGAGTTCAATCCCCAGTTCAGAAAAAAAAACAAAAAAACACAACCAACCTTATGTACCTCTTCTAGATACCTGTCCCATCAGAGCCACCCTGAAAAGTGAAGTCAGAAAAGCTTTACTTATGAAAATAAGCAGCAACATCAGAAAAGACTTGGAAATTGGTTTCTAAATGTTTTTGAACTTTCAGTATGCTACCAAAAATATTGACGAAATCTGAAGTTCTGGAACAAATATCTGAAAAACACCACTTTGAAAGGCATTTCACTGTGCTGGAGTTTAGAAAAGCCAAATGATATAACTATATGACATTTTCTTTAAAATATAAAATTATTTTTACAAGTTCTTACATTCAGTTATTTTAAGAACTTATCAAATATGCAAAAGGAAAAATCAATAGGCAAACAAAACAGTAATGCTTGGATATTGGTATGGTAGAGAATTAATTTATACTTCATGTCACAAATTATAATAAATTAAATTTGAATCAAAATCTTAATCTTTTTGTGGTCCTGGGCTTAATGTATGGTAGGCAAGTGCTCTAACACTGAGCTACATGCCCAGCCCAAAAGGCAAAAACTTTTAAATGCTCTTCATTCAAAATATGTCATCTTTAAAAAAATTTTTATTTATTTATTTATTTTGTGTGTGTGTGGCCAGCTGGCATGTGGTGCTGGGGGATTGAACCGCGGTCCTTGTGCTTTGCTAAGCTTGTTCTAAGTAGGTGCTTTAGACCACTGAGCCATCTTACCAGCCCTCAAAATATGTCATTTTTTATCACTGTTGTGGGGAAAAAATACAAGGAGTAATACAGACAAATTTTAAATTTTAACAGATATCCTACAATGAAAGATAATTTTCCACCAATGTCTTTCACCTGATTAGATGGACACACATGTGTGACAAGCAGACGCAGCCTGTCACCTACATGAAACGTCTCCACTGGTCACGGGTGGCTGAGCAGGCCAACAGGCGCACATGGATGTGCTGAGCAAAGAAGGGTCCACCCAGAGTCGACACTTCTGAAGGAGACCGGCTCGCCCCTCTCTGCTTGGGCTAAGACTTCCCTACAGCATCACTTTTATCAGTAGCCCAGAACAGAAAGGATAAATTTCAGCTTAGATTTGGAAGTCCCGATTGTAGATATTGAAAAACCTCCCACAGTTAAGAGGCAAGAGATGCTGTCTGACGGGGAATTGGTATGGCTTACCAGAAGCGTGGCTGAAGCTCCACGTGTGCGGTAGGTGCAACACTCTCCAGGATGGAACTCCTGTGTGGATCGCCACTGTGCTGTGCCTCCAGCCAGAAGCACACAGGGCTCTAGGGCCCAAGAAGTGGGACAGGCGCACTCCCCCTTCATGACTCTCAGTGAGTCACTGTAGGATTCCTTCCTTCCTTCCTTCCTTCCCTCCTTCCTTCCTTCCTTCCTTCCTTCCTTCCTCCCTTTCCCTTCTTTCTTTCTTTCTTTCTTTCTTTCTTTCTTTCTTTCTTTCTTTCTTTCTTTCTTTCTATTTTTGGGGGCTACCAGCTAGGTACCTGGACTAGCAGGATTCACGCTGGACAGGACCTTGCTCTGACCCAGCAGGTGCTTAGGCAGCTGAGCCATCTCCCTGCCCGATTCCTTGCCACTCCCACAACTCTGAGCTCCACACAGGGAAGACAGGAAAAGGCCCACTAAAGTACAGACTACCACTACCACATAGGCATCTTGGAATTCATCATCAGAGACCAGAAAAGAAGTCACTGTCGAGGAAGGGCTATTTCATTCTGGTCAGTAGGAGGAGATAGAGCGATTGCTGCATATCGAGGCCAGAAAGGAATATGAATGAAACTCGCTTGGGCCTGTGACTGTGAAGTCAGGAAAAAAAAAAAAAAAGACAGAAAGAAACACCTGAGTCTTACTCGCACTCTGCACATAAGCAATCTCACAGCAATGGAAAGCCACCATCGTTTTCAGTACAGACATTGAACACAGGATACGACAACATGAGCTGTGGGCCCTTTTGCCTCGGAAAGTTCTCGACCTGACAGTGCTCTACCACCTTCGCCTACACAATAGCCCTCCCGGCAGTACTCTGTTCTAAGTTAAAGTCTTCTGCGGATGTGGCTTATTGGTAAACCCTGTGTCATGTCTGTGCATTAACAGCAAGCGGGCTGGAAGGCGAGCAGTCTAGCACCAGCCAGCAGAGGGGGGAACACAAAGGACAAAGGCTCCGGCGGCGCCCTAGCTAGGCGTGCCAGTACCGCTCTCCTTCGGCAGTATGGAGAGCGAGACTGAATCAGACAACGCGAGCAGTAGCACACGCCTAGAAGCTTTCTGCACCAACCTGCCTTCCTGCTCTTACGCGCAGGGGTTTACGCTTGGGTTGCGCCAACCCGCAGGAAGCTATGGAAGAACGCTGGCTGGGAGACTGTCGCAGGTCGAGGCAATGAAGGTGATGACACGGACATCGTGAGGTTCGGAGTGGCGAACAAGGTCCGCAGAAAAGGGGATGGGCAGGCCTCAGGGTCCCGAGACAGGCGGCGACTCCTGGACGAGGCAGGATTCATCTGGGCAGGAGGCGCTTTGCAGCTGAAAGTGCAGGAGGACTCGGTGAAGAGGAGACCCCACAGAGATATGCTGCCCAGAGGAGGGCCACACTTTGGGGTGTCCTGGGCTTCCAGTGTGTGGGGATCGGCTTCCGGAGGTGGTGCCTGGGGTGGGAGACTGTGTCTCCACTCCTGACCTGCCTTGCGGGAGGCCTGAGGTGGACACGACTCCCACCTGTCTCCCTGACTCAAGGCAGGCCGCTCTTCTGCCAGGGTTCAGAGAGGCCGAAGACCCTCAGATGTGAACAGGTGGCTGCCGTGGGATCTGGTGGGCCCTTGGCACCTGGAAAGTCGCAAACTTACTCTCAGTCCTGGGGGCCACAAGTGTTTCCCAAGTCACGGTTTAAGAAAAGCCGTACTGTGCATATACAGCATGTCATGAGCGCATGATACCCCAGGAGTCTGGAGTATTGAGCATAATAATGTTTGTTAGGTGCGAACCCGTGCAATAGGCCAGACCAGGCGTTCGCACACAGGAAGATTTCCTGGAGGTAGGAGCAGGTGGGCTGGCTGTCTAGCTGACCAAGACAGCCTCTAACAAAATGGCACAGGGGATTTTATAGGGTTTTTAGGGGAGGGTATTTGCGGGATGGAATAGCCAAGGGAGAGCCGATCTTGGCAGGGCTACCTGGTCTGTGGGGGACTGCTGTGTATTAACGAAAGGAGAGCCTCTGTGGGTTTTTGCCCAGGTCAAAGTCAGGCGGAGTTGTTTTGCGGTCTTGGCCCTGGCTCTGGCCAAAAGCAAGTGAGCCTTGGAGCGAGGGTGAGGTCCTGACGTATGAATGCCCACATGCTAAGATATGACGGTTCTCTGTGGGACGTGAAGAGCCGCACCACTCACGCCAAGTCTTCTTGAAAATATGTGTACTTGCCAGCAAGTGACTGAGGAAAATCTTCTCCCAGTTCCCATTAGCTAGTCCCTTTCCCTTGCACGTTCGCTACATTCGTTCTACTTATCGAGCATTCCTACTTTTATATCCCTGTTTCAGAATCTATGTTCAGAAAACAGCAGCAAAGCGGCTGGGAGAGCCAGGAAATCAGGCCTGCTGCATCACATGTGAACTCCGGGGGAGTCTGCATTTTGAATCAGCTTGATGGAACATCTACTTTCAAATTTCTGTAAAATGGGTTAATTTTTGTCATGCCCATAAAAGTGTACTGGAATCATCCTTTCTACAGGAATTAAGGAATTGGATCTGCATGCAAGGAACGATTTGGGGAAAGACCGAGACCAAGCGTTTTGTTCCTCAGCAATAGGATGAACACAGCTTGCCTTTCTTCGATAGGTGAACTTGTAATTTAAGGTATTTTTTTTTTACACTTTGAATTTTTCAATTTGCTTTGATGATTTGTACTCTCTTTTGGTAGAAAAATCACTCTGGATGCCACCCTAGTAAGCCTTTCATATATTTGTTCCTAAGTCGTGTTTATTTCACTTTTTCTCCCTAGTACTTTCCTTTCTTAATTGAACTGAAGAGAAGTGTTGATTGTTGGGAGAACATACTCAAAAGCAAATAAATGAGTTGTCACAGGAGTTTATGTTTCAGAAGATGACCTTTCTGTTCTGTTTACTTTTCTGTGCATGTACAACTTTCCACAGTGAGAAGTTTAAAAAGGAAGTGACACTTTTTCCTGTTTTAGAAAATGAGACCAAGCCTGTAATCTTAGCACTCAGGAGGCTGAGGCAGGAGGATTGTTGTAAGTTTGAGGCCAGCCTGGGCTACAAAGTGAGTCCAAGGCTAGCCTGAACTGCATAGTGAGAACCTGTCTGAAAAAAAAAA